AAAAAATTCAAACAACCGAATTGTTTTTATTGAGCATGCATGCCTATCGTATATTGTTACCCAGTGAAACTGACGATAGCCGATTTAATTCGCGCGAAAAGCATATGATCACAGACTAAGTTCAGCCATATAATAAACCGATTATTGACCTCGTTTGTTCGGTCTGTACTGTGAAATATCAGACCTCTGTTTTTTGCATGGACCTCGCTTCTTCGTCGCTCGGTCCATACTAAAAAACCTCGGTCTGATATTTCACGGTACAGACCTCACGCTCGGTCAATAAGCCGTTATTATCAAGGTCGAGGTAAGCGTTATCAACCGAGCCGAAGGAGAGGCTGATAACGCTTATCGAGACCTTGATAATTTTGCATATCGCAAAAACCGAATACAATAATTGTTTTATTATACATTTGTGTTAAATACATACCGCTTGCTAATCATCGCAGGCTCATTTGCAGATAACTCAGTTTATCTGCTAGAAGATAACTGAATTTTTTGTAGGTTGGGTGATTTAACTGTAAGCTCTTAGCCAATCAAATTGCTTTTACCAACTTCAATGTATAATAATCAAAATAATCGGCATAAGTTACCAGCATTTTATCTCTATTACCTTTCTAAAGACGGGTCCTGTAGATCTTCGGCGAAAAAGCTGTCGAACCATCGCTCACACGGCAGTTGTTTCAAAGCTCCAATACTACTTAGATGTTTGAATAATTCTGAGTCTTCCGTAGCGAGCCTTTGTTCAAAGAGTTCTGGCTAGAAAAAACAACACAAGACAATTATTGCAATACAAAATAACATTTTCCCTCAAAAATTCCGGTCGTTATTTATGACTGGGGGTGGCAACGAAGAGAAAAGGGTTGGGTGAACAAAATTTTGAGTGAGTAAAAGGTTGGGTAAATGAAAAACAAAACAACTCAAGGGTTGGGTAATAAAAATGTATTGTAATTTCCAAAGCATGGCGCACTCAAATATTGAAGACTAAAAGGCAATGTCAACAGTCATATGTCAATACAATATGTAAATCGATCAACCAATCAGAGTCACTATCTTGATCATTTTCCGATTTGTCAGGAGGCAAATGGTGTCTCCAAAGAAAGAGTACATGTGCAGACAACATGAAACTTTAGACGGCAGAAAATTGCACAAGCAGTTATCAAACTCATGTCACAGAAGTGGTAAAGGACATGTGTGACAACTGAATGGTATCCTTCTGTAAAGTTTTTGGCCAGGGGTGGGTATTTATTTTTCAATTGATATTTGAGGTTGGGTAAATATTTTTTAAACTTTTTAATGTTGGATAAACCTTGAGATAATAGAACTCGAATTTTCTTACCAAACTTTTTAATTGCACAGCATAGGTCTCTTGTAGTTTAAAGAATTTTGTAGTCGCCCAAAAACAGTCGACAATATTTTCAAATATTTCACACATCAGTTTAGCTACAGAGGTCAGCACTTTTAACCTCTTTTCCAATTGCTGCAAAATAAAAATGCAACAATATTAGGATATATATATATATCCTCATACGAAAATTGTTGACGGCTTGTCGGCAGACTCGCTACAAGATGTGAGATTTTTACGTCTGCCAACAAGCCGTCAACAAGTTGTGTTCGCACCGCTTGTTGGGAGTTGTCAATAAGTTTGGAACAAGCTGTTAACAACTTGTAACAACCTTGTTGATATTATCAGACTTGTTGCAAGGTTGTTCCAACAAGTCCGATACAGTCATGATATAACAGTATTGTTACAACCTTGTGTCGTCAACCTTGTAACATTCTTGTTGCATCATGACTGTATCAGACTTGTTAGAACAACCTTGTAACATTCTTGTTACATCATGACTGTATCATACTTGTTAGAACAACCTTGTGACATTCTTGTTACATCATGACTGTATCAGACTTGTTAGAACAGCCTTGTAATATTCTTGTTACATCATGACTGTATCAGACTTGTTAGAACAACCTTGTGACATTCTTGTTACATCATGACTGTATCAGACTTGTTAGAACAACCTTGTAACATTCTTGTTACATCATGACTGTATCAGACTTGTTAGAACAACCTTGTGACATTCTTGTTACATCATGACTGTATCAGACTTGTTAGAACAACCTTGTAACATTCTTGTTACATCATGACTGTATCAGACTTGTTAGAACAACCTTGTGACATTCTTGTTACATCATGACTGTATCAGACTTGTTAGAACAACCTTGTAACATTCTTGTTACATCATGACTGTATCAGACTTGTTAGAACAACCTTGTGACATTCTTGTTACATCATGACTGTATCAGACTTGTTAGAACAACCTTGTAACATTCTTGTTACATCATGACTGTATCAGACTTGTTAGAACAACCTTGTGACATTCTTGTTACATCATGACTGTATCAGACTTGTTAGAACAACCTTGTAACATTCTTGTTACATCATGACTGTATCAGACTTGTTAGAACAACCTTGTGACATTCTTGTTACATCATGACTGTATCAGACTTGTTAGAACAACCTTGTAACATTCTTGTTACATCATGACTGTATCAGACTTGTTAGAACAACCTTGTGACATTCTTGTTACATCATGACTGTATCAGACTTGTTAGAACAACCTTGTAACAAGTCTGATAATGCCATCAAGCTTGTTACAAGTTGTTACAAAAGAAAACTCGGCTAAATTTCACTTACGCTCCCCCCCCCCCCCTACTACTAAAATAGCACCCTGCCTATACCCAACTGGTAATTACCTCTGAAGGTTGCATAAAGCCCATCTCTCCTTCATTCAATAGATACATTTGAACAATCTGTGATGGAATGCTGTCGTTCTTCTCGCTCAGTTTTCGGATGATCTTCAGAGTACGTAACAATTGTTCGACCTGTTCCGACTGTTGTGTCCGGACGAACTCGTGGCTTTGCTGATGCTTCGGTAGGACACCTTTAATAAACCAAATGAATGCAACTGAATTGACGTCATTCACGAATGATAAGGCATTTTTGTTATTTTGGCTATTATTTTATTTTCCTAGAAATCGGCTCATGTCTAAGATAGGCGTAGCCATAGGGGGTTGGGGTGCCCCTAGCCAGCAAAGCTTTGGCCATATTTCCGGGGGGGGGGGGTTGAGGCTAGGGTGTCCCACCCCCACACACACACGCTTTTCATCACGACCAATTTTGTAATTCTTTTAAGAGGCATTTTTTCCATTGTCACATATTTGCGATGAAAAATGTTCGAAACTTAAAATCTTTTGGCTTTTTCCTTTGTTTTAGCTTTATTTTGTAGTTTACACAGTCAACAACCTTTTTAAATGTATCTGGCGGTTGAGAAACACAAAATAATAGTAAAATATTGTTAATTTCAATACAATTATCATTGGTGCTGTAAAATTGACGCCATATTTATACAGCAATATAAGCGAAACTTACTGAACTTCAGACATCGTTTACTCTTTGGCGTACCATCTAAAATCGCTTCATTTTAGCATAATTTTACAGATAAAGCACTAAACATACTTTTTTAAGTTTGTTTGCTGTTTGAGAAACGCATAAAAATTAAGCAATTGAATATAATCATTATATTAAAGGTGATCTACAGTCCGATCTGCGCATGTGCAAAAAATAAGCCCACTTTTTATGATACAAACAGTTTAACTATGTTTTGAGTTCTTGAAATGCCTGATTGTTGTTTCTTGATCATTTATTATACTCTAGAAGCTTGAAATAAAGCTCGATATTTTGGACACAAAAATGTAAACAAAGGCTTTGTTTAATTGTTTACATACGGACCAGGGGCGGATTCAGCGTTTTGGGTGACCGGTTTACTAGGTCCACACAACCATTAGGGGGGTCCGGGGGCATGCTCCCCCGGGAAATTTTCAAAATTTGGGCCTCTGAAACAGCATTTCCTGTGTTCTGGCGTCACTTTTTAAATGAATTTAATGATTAGAAAATATATCTTTTAAGAGAATTTTGGACTAATACGCAGCTCAAACGATGAATTGGACCTTTTTGGAAACCTATTAGCTAGTGCTGAAAATATAGGATTGGCAACTGAATTGCTGACGCATCAATAGTTATTATAAGTACAAGTAGAGATGCTTTTAATATAAACATAGTTGTAATTTTAGATCTATACGCTTTCGAACCAACTTTAACAATGAACTAGAAACCAAACTGCAAGAGCGTGAATAAAGCTTCACAAATTTGACAATCATTTCTTGATTCTCTCTCGCCAACGCAATGATTCTGTAAGAACAACGCAAGATTATACGTACATTATCATATTTCCCGCTATCATGTGTATAGACTGTAGTTACACGTATAAACGGCATCGATACGCTTGTTGATGAATCGATATTTACTATACAGTAAGTAGAAATAGCTTATCGTTATAACTTTAGACTATATACTTCTAAACAAACCTTCAAAATGAACAAGAAATCCATGTAAATGCTTCTATCGCCAACGCAAAGATTCAGTCACGCAAAATTATAAACATATTTCGCGCGTCCTCGAGTTCTGTTAACTTCCATGCCCAGTTTTCTCTAAATGCTGCTCGACTCACAGGTTTATGACCGGTTTACATCCGCCGGAGCGCAGCCGTTTAGCCAATCGAATGGTGTATCGACCGGTTTACTCTCATGGAGAAAACTCTGACCACCGGTTTACTCATAATTGCGGGCGGTTATGTGTGATTCATGCGATGTTTACAAGTCCACGACCCACGACGATATATTAGCAGATTATTAGTCTAGTATTACAACATTTCGTAAGAGGAAACCAGGGCGATAAGTCCTTAATTATACGCTCGGTAATCCATAATCAAATTTCAACAACAGTGTGTATTAAGTGGCGTAATAGATTAGACAACATCAATTTTATGAAACAGAATATTCTTTAATTAAAATTAGTTATATATATGGAAGGTTTTTTTCTCTCTTTGGAAAATCTGACAGGTTTATATAAACCTGTCAAACCTGTCTGAATCCGCCCCTGCGGACTGTAGATCACCTTTAAACCATTCAAGTGGAAAGGTATATTCATTAGTTTTGAGCGCGTGTTATATACGGAACATACAAAATATTCTCGTCTCATTTATGACATAAAATATACCAAATCAATGGCTTTCAGATTATCATAAAAAATGCATGAAATAGCCTTTTGCCAACCCTAAATTTTTTTCCCTAGAACTAAAATGGATTTCAGCGAAGCAGACTTGCCCTGGCTAGCTTTCCAGGCAGTCAAACCTTTGGTATAGGCCAAAAATAGAGGGTGACAAATTCACTGTTAACTTTGTCAAACTTAATTTTCTTTCAAGAATGTGTTCGGCCAATTTCGTTCAGTTTAGTGTATCGAGTTTCTCACTCATTGGTGAGCGGATTTCCCAACAGCCATTATGTCAGCTAGCTATTTCAGTATTGCTAAATTCAGACCTCTCAACTCTCACGCAATTCGCTGCACTCTCACGCTCTCACGCCATGTTTAGTAAATCTCACGCATATAGCAGTTTCATAGTATTTTTTCAATAATATAATATTGTATTCTTAAATGCACATTTTTAATCATTATACGGATCGCGAGTCGAATATATAATCGTGTGTTATTGTTCCTGCATATACGGCCCGACATTTTGCCCGCAATTTGGATACAAAATAGTTCGCATATGTAAATATGGCGAACACAAAAGTTAAAGCTCAATTCTGTATGTCACAGAAATACAGTTATTGTAACTAAAGTGCCTTGTCTTAAAGGATGTTATGAAGCAATGTATTTCATTAAAAAACACCAACTCTCATAAATAATATGTACGATTGCCATTTCAGACCCCAGGACATTTACAAAGGTGTCATTCACATCCCCAATCTCACTCTTAACTTCTCTGCAAAGTTGAGAGGTCTGTAAATTGATAGAGGATCCGAGGTACACCTACGATTTTAACGATCCGAGAAGACACGAAAGTCTAAAGCCCCGGGCAAACTAGGAAACATTGTTGTGGAAACATTTGTGATTCTCGATGTTTCCCTGTTTGCCCACCTGTGAAAATATTGTTGCGGAAACACGGCAAAACATTGGTAGGAAACAATGTTTCTACAACAATGTTTCCTAGTTTGCCCTGGGCTTAACCATTTACTGATGTCATGGTAAATTAAGGTAGCACTTTCTCCTCAATTATTTTAAGACCTTGAGTAGAGGTCCGACCAAGGATTGAGCCCGTGTCTCCCAGCTTGAAAGAGGGGGGGTAATGGGGGGTATTTTCGTGCTGCGTATTGGGGTAATTTAATTATTCGTTCTTCGTTCAGTCATCTTTTTATTAAACGTTTTTCGATCCCGACATGGATGCCGTGTATCGTGCTTGCGGTGTATTCAATATCCGTTGTCCGTTTTCAGCTGTATTTAAAGACGGTTATTTCTCGTTTCTGGACAATATATTCCATTAATTTTGTTTCTGGATTTTAGCTATGTTTTGATTGGGGAACGGAGGTTTCAAAGTTTATATAAATCATGAACATCGACGCAATTGTAAACAAATAGGTGAACACACCGCCTAGTACAGACCATATTCACCTTTCAGACTTCTAAGTATGATTGTTGCTTACATTTCATGTTCACTTTACATTTCAGATTCGTAATAAATTTATTTTACGTGCTTCAGGACTTCCTTCTTTTATTTTTCATGCTTCAAGATCGCTGCATATTATTTT